TAAATGGTCAGAGCCTGGGAAATCTATTACTCTAAAGTCATTCACACATCTTAAACAACTGAATGAAATAGCGGCTAAATCAATTACTGAGCATCCTGAAGCCCCTATAAAAGTAAAATTTCCCTCATTATCTCCACTCGATCGCCCATTAAGCACTATTAAACCTAAGCCATCGAATAACTCTAAAACCTGTTTTCCTCTACCATTGACTAAACTATCTTTGGAACATCTTTGGCTGCTAATATTACTATTTACATCTTCTAATAAAATTACTGAATCAAACGTTTGTTCACTCCCTATCCTACAATTTAGATCACCTATTATCAAAATGTTCTCCATTGCATTTTCATTGATAAAAGTATTAACATTTTCAAAATCTGATGACCAAGTGTTACAATTTAAATAAAGTGGTAAAACATTTAATTTGTTTCCTGCTATGAATAATTCAAAAAAACTAAAATAATTATTTTTAATTAACCTAAAACTACTAAGACATGATTTGGATTTATATAGAATGATAATAAATTGTAGAATAAATAAAGAGTTAAACTTGTATCATCTTTCTTTCTTTAGTATTAGTTTACAAATTTAAATTGTTTCCATAGTAACTAAAGTCAAAACATTAAGAAATAAAACTCAGCTGCTCTTCTATATATTGCTTTAGCAACACTCCCACATCTAGTTGTTCTGGGCACCTCTTTTCCTTCTGGAACTCACGTCAGAGACTTCAATGGGATACATCACCAGACCTATTAACTTGTTGTATCCCATTGAAGTCTCTGACGTGAGTTCCGGAAGGAAAAGAGGTGCCCAGAACAACTAGATGTGAATACTAAAGAAAGAAAGTTGATAAAAGTTTAACTCTTTATTTATTCTACAATTTATTAACTTAAAATTTAATTTAAATCAGGTAAATCAATACATAACTTAACTTATCCACGGATAAATCACAATAGTAGGCCAAGCCGAAATCACACATCTTCCATCTTTGGCCTTCAGAAAAGTAATGGAAGTTATCCGGCTTGGGGTCGTTGTGCAGATAACCCAGGGCGTGGACCTGGTTAAGCGCCCTCGCCTGGGGAATAAGTAAGAAATAAGGTTTGACATTTTATAGGGATATGTGGGTAAAGATCAGGATTTTTGGAATTGGTGGCCAAAAAATCATCCCCATGTTATTCTTATGGGAAAACGCCCCAAGTGATGTTAAACCGGTAGTTCGCCACTACTCATATATGTATTGACTCACTTTCTAATCTTGTTATAAAATATACTATTGCTGGGCTTGTATCTACTGTATGTACTTTTTAAATCCTGATATTGGTGTATGATGGGTTACATTTTTTTATTGCTATCATTCCGGTACTTCTAATAAATGTCTGAATGGATTAAAGGGATCACTATAAATGAGTCTTTTCCATGGGGAGATTGTACATACTTCCTTTCTATTTCATTAACTGGCCAGGATTTAATACTGCTATTAAGCTTTACAACATAAGTTTCTAAATTTGATGATCGCCTAAAATTGTCTAAAACCAGGTCTTTGTACTGAGGATTCTGACAATACAAAGAGAGAGGTCCATATTTATGTATCTTTTAAAGACAGGTGTATTGGCCGGTGGGACATTGGTTTGGATTGCAACGTACTTTCTTTCTCTTTAGGTCTTTTCACAAACTTTTGCAGTGGTTCCTCAGATTTACGTAGTGACTTTTTTATTGTTTGCATCTAGCTATCAAGAGGGAAAGCACTGCATTCATCTAATGGGCCAAATGTTGACACATCATCTGCTAAATATATTAATCAATGTGACACAAACTGCTTCCCATATATTTTGCCAAAGCCATCAACAAAGACCTTTAACAAAGCCTTAGCATAGTCTGTAATATGCTGCTGACCCCTTTTGTCTTTCAATAGGATTGGTAATGACATACGTAAAGAAATGGTTTAAAATTTAAAAAATGGTTAAAGTTTTTCATCATATCTGAGGATATAAAAGTGGGCAAAGCATTATCACTGGTATACTGGAGAAATTTGGGGAGTTTCTTTGCCTTCCAACGACTAACTCCAAAAAGGGCCGAGGTTTCCTCTGGTGGAATGTATCCGCTTCCATAAATAGAGTTTGAACATCAGCTAGCTTGAATGTTTTATTATTATCCCTGACATATTATGGTATGCCCAAACCATCTCAATGGGATTGTAGTGGCAATGATACGGTGGCAGTCTGATTACATTTTGCCCCTGCTCAGCTGCTTTAGTGTCGATCACGTATTTCGGCTGAGTTGGCTTTTGTCGTTTCACCACTTCATACAGCTCCCACTTCCGCAGATCAGCACTGTGAACAATTCCCTTTTCTTGGGGCCACTTTGTCATTTCCCCTTTCGTGGAGCTTGAAGTAGGGACTTTATCCTTGATTCGAGAGTGGTAAGGGGCATTATCTATCACGATAACGCTTCTCTGAGGGTTGGCTGGTATTAGCACCACTAAAAGCCAACCTTCGAAAACCTCACTGTTCATCTCCTCGTGGTAGTCGCACGTCTTTTTAGACTCATTAATAAGTGGACGGACGTTTATCCAACCTTGCTGTCCTCCTGCGGGGCAATCAATTAACATTTTCCCTTTGCCTAGTGGAGTATTCAAGGTGCTTTTGACACTGTCATCTGTCCATTCAATTTAACCACGTTTCGTAAAAAAAAATGATATTCATCATATCTGGTTATGGATTCTCTCAAAAACTGGCATCCCAGCAAAGCAACGGATGGGTTTTCAACCAAACATTTAAGACTATTCATCTTTCCCATAATTTTTATGGCTGCAGAGAGTGACCATCTACTTCTATGAAACAAATCAGCATTTTTCAAAGCTGTGCGAAGTTTTCTTAGTATGAACGCTCTTTCAACAACGGAATCCGTATCTTCCATATTGGTGTCTATCACTTCTTTTGAGATCGGCATAAAGCTAAACTTTGTCAAGCGCTCACGCCCATTAGCCATGCGCTAGTTGTGGATTTTGTCCATCCTTGTTTTACTGGATGCAACAAGGACACATCAAGTGGCTGCAACACTGTAGTGCAATTTTGGGGAGAGCCACCAACACAATTTGGTTTTCTGAGCCAGATTGGCTCAGATAATAAGTGAGGTGGCTCTTAGGACCATATAAAAAGAGGGGGGATGTAAAATAATATCCCCACTAATTGATAATGGGAAACTCTGTTTTAGTGACAACCATCTATGTATGAAAATAGTTCACAAAGTATTAAAAAAATACTTCACCCGTCATCCATCCGTTCTCAGACTTTCCCATAGTGCCTTTTAAGTGTGCTTAATGTAGGCAATCATTGACCTAGATATACAACTAGTGAAGGTGCATTATTTATAGGAGTGCTAGAACTTTTATAATTTTTTTTTTTCATTGGCAAAACCATCTTCATACACATTGTTCTGTCCTTTGATACGCAGTACTTTCCCACTTTTTGGGTACAAAGAGAATCCAGCTTCGTCCATATTACACCTTCTAGCTAGAGGGTTCGGAGAAGACTGCTTTTAGATCATTAGTTTCCAAATATTAGTTTTTTCGATTTCTTTATTTTTAAATGTATTAATACGCTATATGACACTTTATGAACAATAAGGCATTTTAGTTTTAATATCTTAGTTATAATAAAATCTTGTTCGTCCAGGTGTACTGTAAATGTGCAAGCTGACCTTCCATTTTTGAAAAAAAAAAAATACCTTGGGGTCTACCCCAGTTGTTTTTTAAGTAACCATGTTATCCTTATGCAGAACATATTTGTTATACATGGATTATATATATATAGAGATTCAGGAAACATGTGCTACAAACATTTACTGACTTGGTTGAAATGAAATATTTACCATTTGAATTTGGGTTGGCATAAATATTAAAATATAAAAAAGTGAAACCCTGGACAATTTGATATGCTAAAAAGAAAAATGGACGAACAGTGCTCTGAATTTATTGAGCAATCATTAAAAGAGTCAATTGGTAAACCATGGAAAGGTAGGAAAATCATAGAGCGCCACCACAACAGTTTATTCACAAACCTACATAGGCTAACATTATCACAAGTCAATATGAAAAATTAAAACTAAAAAATATCTACCAAAAAGGTCAAGTATTTTTACAATAATTCATAAACAATATAAAAAAAAACATGAAATATAAATTGTATCTTTAATTAGAAATATTAATTAGGAAAAAATATTAAATCAATTTATTTCTCCATCTTCAAGGTCCTCATTTTCATTCCCCCCATCGTGTCTATTGTAGTAGCTGAAACAAAAATTTATATTAAATCCTGTATTATAATAACAAACTAGCAGAGTATCTGTCCTTCATAAGAGGTTGGCGTATTAGTATGAAATGCTTATTGCAGTTATACTTGTTCTTGGCGTTTACAATGGATGAAGACACGGTTAAAGAAAATTTACCTTTTTTTAATTCACGGTCCTATGCTATTATTTTTGGAAAAAAAATTTATTTAGTTTGTTACTATAGCAACATTGCCCACTTATAAAGAAAATAAATTTTAAAACATATTTATCCATTTTTCATCTCACCAACCTCCTCGTCTCCTTCCTCATCAAACCTATTGCTGTTGCTGAAATGAAAATTAATATTAAAACCTGTATTATAAATACAAACTAGCAGAGTATCCGTTCTTGGTAAGGGTCCATCTACCACAGCCAGAATGTTCTACCACTGCCTGTAAACATAAAACAGTTTAATTCTCTTTTTCACACTTGTTAATGAAAGTAGAACCTTGATAACAAGACTCTTATGGTGATTATGAAATTGGACTTGTTATCAAGGTTGATCTGTTATTGAGGTTTGTAATAACATGTAATTAGGGGTAAAATAAATTCAAGGGGATTTGAAAATTACACTTCTTATCAAGGGTGACTTGTTATTGAGGGTCTTTTTTAGATATTTTAATAAATGCAATAAAAATAACAACTTCTTGACTGACTTTCTTCTTTTTGTCTTAGCGTGCCACCTTTGTCTGTTTCCCAATTCCTGCATACGTGGAGACAAGAGTAACACATTTATTGTCTTTCCACACCACAGAAGTAACTTCAACTTCATCTATCTTCAAGCATGTTTCGGCAGAGAATCCTCTAGGGCATTCTTTTAGCTCATCCATTGATGGAAGCTTCTCATTTTGTAGTCTATCTCTTCGTGCAGTGCCAAGGGCGTGAATATTTCTTTTTTCCAAGTGTACCATTAGTGGTAGTGTCGTGTAGAAATTATCAAAATATAGTTGATGATGGTTTGTAGGAACATTACGAACAAGGCGTACTACAACATTTGCACATGAGCCCAAATCAGGTTCTCCAGGAAGCCTATAATCTGGGTCATTCTCTTGCCCTGAGTAAATCTCAAATCTGTATGCAAAGCCACTAACCCCACTTAATACATAAAGTTTGTAGCCCCATTTATGAGGCTTTTTGGGCATATATTGCTTCATATAGTGATGCGCTTTGGTTGCACACAACTGTTCATCGACACACAACATTTGTTCGTAAGGAATTGTCTGGAACCTTGACTGAAGTGCATCAACAATAGGTCTAAGTTTGTGTAGCCGATCGTGACCTGGTTCCCCTCTTGGCACCATAGCACTGTTGTCATTGAAGTGAAGATTTTGTCTGATTGATTCGAAACGATTCACACTCATTGTTTCAACTATTATAGGATTTCCAATTGTTTCTTTCCAATAACAGCTCACATTTGGAAGTCAGATAATCGACATCAATATACAAATCCCTAAGAACCTTTGTATATCAGTAAGGGTTAATGCAAGTTTTGAGTTAGGGTCCCTCTGGAAGCAAGTTCCCAGGGAAGTTGTGGCTTAGTTTTCTTTTTTTTATTGATATCTTTCTCTTTAGATGCTTTCGGGCTTTTGGTTTTCATTTGACTTCTTTTTTTACCTGTAACACTTTTCTTCACAACAGGTTTTTTCTTTTTTGTTTCTTTGTTTTGTTTCTTGTCAGATTGAAACTTTGACCTATTTTGTTTGTTGCCACAAACATCAACTGATGAGTCAGTAGTGTTATAGAATGTTGCAGGGTCTACAAATGATGTTGATGGCAATGAAGTATTGCACCTCTCATTTGTTTTTTTGGAGAGCATTAACTTGTGCTTCAGATTGACTAGATGTTGATGGAGTTGGGCCACAAACTTCACTTTTGGCCTGAGCATTTAATGGAACCGGATCATTTGTTGGAGGCGGCTTGACAGGCTTTGAAGTTGTAGTATCATCTTCATCAGAAGAATATGAAGGTTCTAAGGAAGGATCGGATTTAGAAAAAACTGGTGATACATCACGTTTCCTCTTCCGAATAGTACATTCTTCATCATCACTGCTGCCTGGCACAAAATCAGGGTCAGCGTCAACATCGTCACAGTCCTCACTTAGGTCTGATGGAAAGAGAACCTCTAGTACGTCATCTTCAGAAATAGATGAACGATACATGTCACTGCAAAGAAAACAAATCAGTTAGACAAAAAAAAAAAAAAACAAAAAAAAAACACAAATAATATTACAAAATACAACAAACTTACCTATTTATTTTTCGGAAATATAAACTTTATATAAGGACACAATAATTGGAAATTTGAAGCTTCCATATGTTTGTATCTGTTAGGATTTATAAAATAAATTGTGTTGACATTACTGCATGAAGGGCCATATATGACCCAAACAGAAATAGGCTGTTTCTGCACTACGTGCATAATGGGTCAAATGTGGACCAACCCTAAAATGTCAATTAAATCAAAGGAAAAATTAATAGCTTATGAACTAATGCATACAGTAACATCTACATACCTTATTCTTGATGGCAGTTATTTTCATGAAGGCCTGGAACCACTTGTATTCAGTTTTATAACCTAAAAATCACAACAAAACTGCTGCCTTGACAACCATGTGGTCTAGACTGACAATAATGGAGTCAAGCTGCATAGTGTTGCCACCTGTAGGCCAATAGGCGAACTAAAGTAGACTGTAGATGTGCCAGATGTGGACCAACATGAAATAAGACATAGAAGTTAGGTTTTTATTTTCTAAAATAATGATTTTTTTGGATGGGAAATGTATGACCCAGTATGCATTGTAGGGTTAATGCATTATTTAAAATTTGCCTCAAGAAAATATTAAGTTACCATAAATTTCTATTGCTGGCCTATCCCGTTGGTACGATTTTCTGTTTTTCTTTTGAAATATGTTTATTACATTGTTATGAACTGGAAAACACATAGTTTATGTTCTAATAACTATTTATAGTTGAGATATGTCACCTTGAATGGCATTGGTGTGACCTCGGTTCCATAACAACCCAATTAACAAAAAATCGATTTTTTCGTTTGTACATGTTTGTTACTTCTTAATAAACATAATCTAACACCTTTTTGATAAAACTATCAGTAATTATCAATTTAATGCATTATTTAAAATTTGCCTCAAGAAAATAAGAAATTGCCATAAATTTCTATTGCTGGCCTATCCCCTTGGCACGATTTTCTGTATTTTAACTGGTGTGACCTCGGTTCCATAAGAACCTAACTGACTAAAATGGGTTTTATTTGATGTTTATACATGTGAGTTACTTCTTAATAATCAATACCTAACACATTTTCAATAAAAGTATTAGTATTTACCAATTTACCTGTTCAATAAAAGTATCAGTAATTATACATTTCAATGCATTTTTGAAAATTTGCCTCAAGAAAATATAAAATTAGGCCTACCATAAATTTCTATTGCTGGCCTATCCCTTTGGTACGATTTCTTTATTTACTTTTGAAATATGTTTATTACATTGTTATGAACTGGAAAACACGTCGCTTATGTTTTAAGAATGATTTAATGATGATTCGTTTAAGAATGATTTTTAATATAGAATCCAATGTTATTTGGTTCCATGATTGATTTTATGGTAAATAATTTATTTTTTTTAAATAAATTTATTTTTACTATAGCTATGTGCTATTGATTTAGGCGCTCGTCTGACTTTGGTTGCATTACGACGCTACATTAAACCAATTAATGTTGCATTACTTTGGCTAAACATGTATTTTTGTGGGTAATAAACTAAACCTATAACAATTTAGAGGTTTTAAGTTATCATTTCTTTGATTTTATAGTGTTTTTTTAATTAATTGGAAACAAAAAATATATACAAAATTAAAAAAAAAAAACAATACAACAAACATAAAATATATCTAGGCCTACACTCCTGGGGGGGCAGGCTCATTATGTTGAGCGGGTTGAGGGGGATGTCCCTGGCGAGGCATCATGTCAGGGGCTCGCGGGGTTAAGTTGAGATGCTGGGGAATGATGTAGTGGCGTAGTGGGAGTTGTTGAGGGATTTGTAATTGTTGAGGGATTTGTTGAGGGATATGTTGTGGGATTTGTTGTGGATGGTACAATGGGGAATGGAATTATGAGGCGGAAAGAGGTATTGGAGTGAGGTTGGGTGGTTAAAATAATTGGGAGGGGGGAATATGCCAGGGTAGGAGTGTTGTGGTAGTACCGGGAGTCATAGTTGTTGTTGTTGAGGTGGGGGTGGTGGTGGTTGTTGTTGAGGTGGGGTTGGTGGTAGTTGTTGTTGAGGTTTGGGTGGTGGTAGTTGTAGAGGTTGGGGGGGGGTGGTGGTTGCTGTTGAGGTGGGGGTGTTGGTGGTGGTTGTTGAGGTGGTGGTGTTGGTGGGGGTGGTTGTTGAGGTGGGGGTGGTTGTTGAGGTGGGGGTGTTGGTGGGAGTGAAGGTAGTTGTGGTGGGGGTGTTGGTGAGAGTGATCGTGATTGTCTGCGTCTTCGCGACGGGGGTGTTGGTGAGAGTGATCGTGATTGTCTGTGTCTTCGCAGCGGGGGTGTTGGTGAGAGTGATCGTGATTGTCTGCGTCTTCGCAGCGGGGGTGTTGGTGAGAGTGATCGTGATTGTCTGTGTCTTCGCAGCGGGGGTGTTGGTGAGAGTGATCGTGATTGTCTGCGTCTTCGCAGCGGGGGTGTTGGTGAGAGTGATCGTGATTGTCTGCGTCTTTGCGGGTAGGGTGTTGGAGATCGTCTGGGCCTTCTTCTAGGTGGTCCCCTCGGCCCCTGATTGCCTGAGCCCCTCCTGCCTCTGGAACGCCTGTTCCATCCTCGCCCCCCGGGTCTTGGGCCGCTTTTCCCACTCCGGTGTAGCCTCAATATGATTGTTATTATTGTTGTTATATAATTGTTTTGCAGCTGCTATACGTATCCAATCACCAAGTTTAAGGTGTTCTTGGATATGTTGGGGCACTTAGATTTTCCATCCTACAAAACATTAATGCAAATTAGTTAGGGTGTAAAGACGTTTTAAAAGTTAGGTTCTTATGGAAACGAGGTCACACCAAGACCATTCAAGATGACATATCTCAACTATAAATAATTATTAGAACATAAACGACGTGTTTTCCAGTTCATAGCAATGTAATAAACATATTTAAAAAAAAAAAAAAAAAAAAAAAAAAAACAGATAATCGTACCAACGGGATAGGCCAGCAATAGAAATTTATGGTAATTTAATATTTTCTTGAGGCAAATTTTAAATAATGCATTAAATTGATAATTACTGATAGTTTTATCAAAAAGGTGTTAGATTATGTTTATTAAGAAGTAACAAACATATATAAACGAAAAAAACGATTTTTAGTGAGTTGGGTTGTTATGGAACCGAGGTTACACCAACGATATTCAATATGACATTTCTCAACTATAAATGAGTGTTAAAACATAAACGACGTGTTTTCCCGTTCATAGCAATGTAATAAACATATTTCAATAGAAAAACAGGAAATCGTACCAAAGGGGATAGGCCAACGATAGAAATTTATGGTAATTTAATATTTTTTTCTTGAGGCAAATTTTAAATAATGCATTTAATTGATCATTACTGATAATTTTTTTCGAAAAGACGTTATATATTGTTTATTAAAAAGCAACTAACATGTAAAAACGAAAAAATAGATTTTTAGTAAGTTGGGTTCTTATGGAACTGAGGTCACACCAGTTAAAATCAAAGTCAAATATCTCAACTATAAATAATTATTAGAACATAAACGACGTGTTTTCCAGTTCATAACAATGTAATAAACATATTTCAAAAGAAAAACAGAAAATCGTACCAAGGGGATAGGCCAGCAATTGAAATTTATGGTAATTAAATATTTTCTTGAGGCAAATTTTAAAAAATGAATTAAATTGATAATTACTGATAGATTTATCAAATACCCCCGCCGCAGCAAACCTGCAGACTTAGCGAATTTCCATTTGCCTAAATGGGTTTAAACCAAAATGTCTCCTTAAAAATATCACATTTATTCCCTATTTAAACATAATTAGTTTAATGAGTACTTAGGTTCGCTGCTTCCATATGTTTGTATCTGTTAGGATTTATAAAATAAATTGTGTTGACATTACTGCATGAAGGGCCATATATGACCCAAACAGAAATAGGCTGTTTCTGCACTACGTGCATAATGGGTCAAATGTGGACCAACCCTAAAATGTCAATTAAATCAAAGGAAAAATTAATAGCTTATGAACTAATGCATACAGTAACATCTACATACCTTATTCTTGATGGCAGTTATTTTCATGAAGGCCTGGAACCACTTGTATTCAGTTTTATAACCTAAAAATCACAACAAAACTGCTGCCTTGACAACCATGTGGTCTAGACTGACAATAATGGAGTCAAGCTGCATAGTGTTGCCACCTGTAGGCCAATAGGCGAACTAAAGTAGACTGTAGATGTGCCAGATGTGGACCAACATGAAATAAGACATAGAAGTTAGGTTTTTATTTTCTAAAATAATGATTTTTTTGGATGGGAAATGTATGACCCAGTATGCATTGTAGGGTTAATGCATTATTTAAAATTTGCCTCAAGAAAATATTAAGTTACCATAAATTTCTATTGCTGGCCTATCCCGTTGGTACGATTTTCTGTTTTTCTTTTGAAATATGTTTATTACATTGTTATGAACTGGAAAACACATAGTTTATGTTCTAATAACTATTTATAGTTGAGATATGTCACCTTGAATGGCATTGGTGTGACCTCGGTTCCATAACAACCCAATTAACAAAAAATCGATTTTTTCGTTTGTACATGTTTGTTACTTCTTAATAAACATAATCTAACACCTTTTTGATAAAACTATCAGTAATTATCAATTTAATGCATTATTTAAAATTTGCCTCAAGAAAATAAGAAATTGCCATAAATTTCTATTGCTGGCCTATCCCCTTGGCACGATTTTCTGTATTTTAACTGGTGTGACCTCGGTTCCATAAGAACCTAACTGACTAAAAATGGGTTTTATTTGATGTTTATACATGTGAGTTACTTCTTAATAATCAATACCTAACACATTTTCAATAAAAGTATTAGTATTTACCAATTTACCTGTTCAATAAAAGTATCAGTAATTATACATTTCAATGCATTTTTGAAAATTTGCCTCAAGAAAATATAAAATTAGGCCTACCATAAATTTCTATTGCTGGCCTATCCCTTTGGTACGATTTCTTTATTTACTTTTGAAATATGTTTATTACATTGTTATGAACTGGAAAACACGTCGCTTATGTTTTAAGAATGATTTAATGATGATTCGTTTAAGAATGATTTTTAATATAGAATCCAATGTTATTTGGTTCCATGATTGATTTTATGGTAAATAATTTATTTTTTTTAAATAAATTTATTTTTACTATAGCTATGTGCTATTGATTTAGGTGCTCGTCTGACTTTGGTTGCATTACGACGCTACATTAAACCAATTAATGTTGCATTACTTTGGCTAAACATGTATTTTTGTGGGTAATAAACTAAACCTATAACAATTTAGAGGTTTTAAGTTATCATTTCTTTGATTTTATAGTGTTTTTTTAATTAATTGGAAACAAAAAATATATACAAAATTAAAAAAAAAATACAATACAACAAACATAAAATATATCTAGGCCTACACTCCTGGGGGGGCAGGCTCATTATGTTGAGCGGGTTGAGGGGGGTGTCCCTGGCGAGGCATCATGTCAGGGGCTCGCGGGGTTAAGTTGAGATGCTGGGGAATGATGTAGTGGCGTAGTGGGAGTTGTTGAGGGATTTGTAATTGTTGAGGGATTTGTTGAGGGATATGTTGTGGGATTTGTTGTGGATGGTACAATGGGGAATGGAATTATGAGGCGGAAAGAGGTATTGGAGTGAGGTTGGGTGGTTAAAATAATTGGGAGGGGGGAATATGCCAGGGTAGGAGTGTTGTGGTAGTACCGGGAGTCATAGTTGTTGTTGTTGAGGTGGGGGTGGTGGTGGTTGTTGTTGAGGTGGGGTTGGTGGTAGTTGTTGTTGAGGTTTGGGTGGTGGTAGTTGTAGAGGTTGGGGGGGGTGGTGGTTGCTGTTGAGGTGGGGGTGTTGGTGGTGGTTGTTGAGGTGGTGGTGTTGGTGGGGGTGGTTGTTGAGGTGGGGGTGGTTGTTGAGGTGGGGGTGTTGGTGGGAGTGAAGGTAGTTGTGGTGGGGGTGTTGGTGAGAGTGATCGTGATTGTCTGCGTCTTCGCGACGGGGGTGTTGGTGAGAGTGATCGTGATTGTCTGTGTCTTCGCAGCGGGGGTGTTGGTGAGAGTGATCGTGATTGTCTGCGTCTTCGCAGCGGGGGTGTTGGTGAGAGTGATCGTGATTGTCTGTGTCTTCGCAGCGGGGGTGTTGGTGAGAGTGATCGTGATTGTCTGCGTCTTCGCAGCGGGGGTGTTGGTGAGAGTGATCGTGATTGTCTGCGTCTTTGCGGGTAGGGTGTTGGAGATCGTCTGGGCCTTCTTCTAGGTGGTCCCCTCGGCCCCTGATTGCCTGAGCCCCTCCTGCCTCTGGAACGCCTGTTGTTCCATCCTCGCCCCCCGGGTCTTGGGCCGCTTTTCCCACTCCGGTGTAGCCTCAATATGATTGTTATTATTGTTGTTATATAATTGTTTTGCAGCTGCTATACGTATCCAATCACCAAGTTTAAGGTGTTCTTGGATATGTTGGGGCACTTAGATTTTCCATCCTACAAAACATTAATGCAAATTAGTTAGGGTGTAAAGACGTTTTAAAAGTTAGGTTCTTATGGAAACGAGGTCACACCAAGACCATTCAAGATGACATATCTCAACTATAAATAATTATTAGAACATAAACGACGTGTTTTCCAGTTCATAGCAATGTAATAAACATATTTAAAAAAAAAAAAAAAAAAAAAAAAAAAAAAACAGATAATCGTACCAACGGGATAGGCCAGCAATAGAAATTTATGGTAATTTAATATTTTCTTGAGGCAAATTTTAAATAATGCATTAAATTGATAATTACTGATAGTTTTATCAAAAAGGTGTTAGATTATGTTTATTAAGAAGTAACAAACATATATAAACGAAAAAAACGATTTTTAGTGAGTTGGGTTGTTATGGAACCGAGGTTACACCAACGATATTCAATATGACATTTCTCAACTATAAATGAGTGTTAAAACATAAACGACGTGTTTTCCCGTTCATAGCAATGTAATAAACATATTTCAATAGAAAAACAGGAAATCGTACCAAAGGGGATAGGCCAACGATAGAAATTTATGGTAATTTAATATTTTTTTCTTGAGGCAAATTTTAAATAATGCATTTAATTGATCATTACTGATAATTTTTTTCGAAAAGACGTTATATATTGTTTATTAAAAAGCAACTAACATGTAAAAACGAAAAAATAGATTTTTAGTAAGTTGGGTTCTTATGGAACTGAGGTCACACCAGTTAAAATCAAAGTCAATTATCTCAACTATAAATAATTATTAGAACATAAACGACGTGTTTTCCAGTTCATAACAATGTAATAAACATATTTCAAAAGAAAAACAGAAAATCGTACCAAGGGGATAGGCCAGCAATTGAAATTTATGGTAATTAAATATTTTCTTGAGGCAAATTTTAAAAAATGAATTAAATTGATAATTACTGATAGATTTATCAAATACCCCCGCCGCAGCAAACCTGCAGACTTAGCGAATTTCCATTTGCCTAAATGGGTTTAAACCAAAATGTCTCCTTAAAAATATCACATTTATTCCCTATTTAAACATAATTAGTTTAATGAGTACTTAGGTTCGCTGCAACAGGGAGGGTTAATAAGTTTTTTTATGTAAAATGTTAAAAGGTACTGTGGTTTAGTAAGAAATTAATGTATTTTCCAAATTTGATCAAAATATGTTCATAAACAAGCAAACTACAACAGTTGACTTATTCTCCATAAGAATAACATGGGAATTTTAAAATTACAATTTTTTTTAAATTTTCTCCGTAACAATTAGGCGCATAATAACGCTTCAATATACTAAATTATTTGTTTTTTTTAAGCTCTACAAAATGGTTTAAAAAGAAATTGTGAAATTTTGTGTTTTTAGGGTCAAAAATGGGAAAACCCTATTTTTACCCCATAAAACCCCCCATAATCCCCCGTTCCCATAGTCCGATCATGCTGGTTCGCGAACTCATTCAAGTTAATCCCGCCTTACACCTTCAAACCAAATTTTATCAAAATCGGACAAAAATTACTCAAGTTATCGTGCGGATGGACACACACACATATATATATATAAATTTGAACGAATGGTGTTTATGGCCTCTGGGGACATCAAAATGAAAAAGTAAATCGGTCCCGGGCTTAGGTCTTACCATGAGACCTACGGTAATAGCTACTTCCCTATAGGGAAATTCGCTAAAAGGTGTTAGATATTGTTTATTAAGAAGTAAAAAAGATGTACAAACAAAAACAAACAATATTTAGTCTGTAAGGTTCTTGAAACCGAGGTTACAACAGTTAAAATAAAAGTGACATATTTCAACTATAAATAATTATTAGAACATAAACGACGTGTTTTCCAGTTCATAGCAATGTAATATACATATTTCAAAATAAATACAGGAAATCGTACCAAGGGGATAGGCCAGCAATAGAAATTTATGTTAATTTAATATTTTCTTGAGGCCAATTTTAAATAATGCATTAAATTGATAATTACTGATAATTTTATCAAAAAAGTGTTAGATATTGTTTATTTAGAAGTAACAAACATGTGCAAACAAAAAAAAACAATATTTAGTCGGTTAGGTTCTTGGAACCGAGGTCACACCAGTTAAAATCAAAGTCACATATATCAACTATAAATGAGTCTTAGAACATAAGTGACGTGTTTTCTAGTTCATAACAATGTTACAAACATATTTTAATAGAAAAACAGGAAATCGTGCCAAGGGAATAGGCCAGCAATAGAAATTTAGGGTAATTTATTATTTTCTTGATGCAAATTTTAAATAATACATTAAATTGATAAATACTAATAATTGTATCGAACAGGTGTTAGGTAGTCTTTATTAAGGAGTAACTAACATATATAAATGAATAAAATCTATTTTCAGTAGGATGGGTTCTTATGGAACCGAGGTCACACCAACGCCATTCAATATGACATTTCTCAACTATAAATGAGTGTTAAAACATAAACGACGTGTTTTCCAGTTCATAGCAATGTAATAAACATATTTCAAAAGAAAAAAGGAAATCGTACCAAGGGAATAGGCCAGCAATAGAAATTTATGGTAATTTTTTAAGTACGATGGGTTCTTATGGAACTGAAGTTACACCAACGCCATTCACGGTGACATATCTCAACTGTAAATTAGTCAGGGTATACGAGTAAATAAGATCGTTGTAAAGGGTACTTCAGCAATAAAATACATAGGCCTATTGTAATATTCTTACACATTTCAACCAATACGAGTGTACAAATAATTATAACTTAGTACTGTGTAAGGTTTATACAATGCTGATCAAGAAGTTATTTATAAGGTTTAGTCTAGGATAGGCTTTAAGCGTTTACTTTGTTTAAAACAACTCCATGAAAACATTAATTCATTTATGCAGTTTTTTGCATATATTTCAGACACTTGCTATACTCAACGCTTCGCGGGAACAACCAAACGCCATCTTGGCCGTGTGCCGCCAAAAAAAGTTCCTGCCACTTGATATTTTGGAGGTTATGTCGTCGGCTCTATGACGAATCCTGCTGTAACGCCATCATTGTTATGACGTTTTACTGTGACGTATATTCGTCGGAGGGGAAGTAGGAGAAGTGGATTGGGTTATTGCTAATCTATTGCCAGTTTCACGCCGATTAATTTTAATAAAGTTAAATAATACATACACACTTATTATTATTATAATCTAACTATTACACTCAGATTAGATATTACTAATCTGAGCTGATACTAACCACTTGTAACATGCCTGTAAACTAACCCTTCAATCCTAATTTAAAAAAACCATAATTCGACAAACAATTGAAATAAGCTATTACCGGTAGCCTAGTAATAGTAGTAAAACATAATTTACTACCTACTTTAAATTTAGGGAACTAGTACTAGGGTGACTTAAACGACCTTAACTCTAATAACATAACTTGCATGGCTTACCTTGTCAGCTCAGCACAGCACCCTCCTGCAATGGCTATGGCAACGAAAACATGATGTACCGGATACATCAGGGTTGCCACCCGTAAGCACCTTCGCCATGTGTTTTAAGCCAATGTAAGGGATAGGGTGACGCGGCGGGACCTTCGCGCCTTTTCCCTAACCACAGGTGGCAACCCGGACAACCCAGCCACGAGGGATGAGGGTTGCCACCTTTATGGCTACCACAGTCCCTTATAGCACGGTTAGCTGGTTTGGATGGGTGACGATTGACGTCCGATTCTCTTACACTTCCAAGGTCAGCCCGAATGTTGCTACTACTAGCATTTGATGGTTTTGTATTATACATTTCGCACTTATCGTTTAATATTTTTAAATATCTCTAAAGAGTAGACAAACCATTATTATTGGCCTATAAGATATGCAGGTTAAATCCACTCATTTTACAATAAAACAGTCATTTTGTCGATGTGAAAAGCCTTATCAGGAGATTAAAAACTAAAG